GAGAATCAAGAAAGCCACCCCCAAAACCCCAAAACCCCATGCTTCTTAAAAAGAATAAAAGAATAAATAATTCTCGATAATTTGATAAATATTGAGTGAATTGCATAAAATATTATTAATTTCAATGTCTTACGAAACAAGTTCAAGTGCTAAAATATATATAAATAAAAACCTCAAGGATAAAGAACTTGCTGATGTAAGAATGCTTAATAAGCAATTAAATAATGACTTTCAAAACTAAACAAAACTTAAAGTCTTTATAGGAACCACTTCTAGATAGTGGAAATTATTAAGAAATAGCTTAATAGCTGAAAGTTTAGCTTGATCAACTTTCAGACTTTATGACTAGTCTAAACAGCAATGTAAGTTTAAACATATCCTAAACATATAAAATCTATTTTATATTTGAATTCAAATACTCATGAATATTTAGATGTAAAAGTATGAGTAATCTCAAAATAGAAGACCCTCTTAATCGAAAGAAGATTACTTGAATGAGCAAGATTAGAGGACGAGAAAGAATATGTAAATTTCATAAAAGAAGTTTATCCAAAATATAGAGAAGATCTATTAAGAAAAAATGCAATGCAAATTAGTACAATCAAAAGAGGTTTAGATCACTTGAGTGACATCTAAGTTTCAGGAGTCAAAGATAATTAAGCTAGAATGCGAGAGTATAATTCTATAAAGTCTTCTCTTAATGAAATGACGAAAAAGTTTGAAACATATGCTAAGAGATTTGGTGACACAGAAGAACTAAACTTAAAAAACTATAGAGATTCAGTCTTAAATCCAAATAAAAAGTAAATTTTGCATTGTATAATTTATGATTAGAGGGTAATTCAACTTTATTGATGAAGAATCGTAAGAGCTAAATGATAGTAATAACAGAGAATCTTCTGGGGTTTTAGTATAAACGCAAGCATAACTTAGAGAATCATAAAAACGAGCACAGTATTTAATTGATGATCGTCTAATACTTTTATAGATTAAGAGAAAGAGCAGAGATTGAATAAATAGAAGACTACTTAAAAGAGAGGAAAGAGCAGCTTGATAAAGTACATAAGCTAATGGGAGATGTCCATTCTATAGCTAAGGATATTGGAGTCGAAGTTGTCGTTCAAGGCAAAAAGATAGAGGAAATTAATACAGAGATGGAGTCGGCTAAGGAAAATGTAGAAGGAGGAAAAGAGTAATTATAATAGAAGAGAGATCGAACCATCAGAGGAAATAAGTGGATAATGTTTCTATTTGCTGGAGTTTTAGGATTGGTTTTAATACTTTTACTGGTTATCTTTCTAAGAAGATGACATAAAATTTTATCAATTAATTAAAGTAAATTTTATATTCTTAGTACTTAGCGGGGTTTTGGGGTTTTGGGGTTTTGGGG